GAGATTCAAAAGTTGGATTCAATAGTAGTGATGCTTCATTATGTGAACATCAAACTAGAGACCCAAAACCATCTATATATCTATATAAGCTTGGATGAATCACTAGTGAAGTAAAAGAGAAAAGAGAAGTAGACAACATTTAGGAGGGACTTTGCCAACTTTGAAGTTTTAACTAATACAAGAGATAATACTTTTATTATGGAACTTAAAGATTATTGTCAGCCTAAAAATCATGGCTTTGTAAACGGTAATTTTGTTAGTGAGTGATAATTGTATTCCTGCAGATCTAGAAATTATTACCGTTGTATCCATATTTCTTCCCTATAAATATATGGTTTTGGTTCTTAATAAAACACAAGCAAATCTATTGACTTTTCTATATTTTTTTTTTCCTCTTTTCATAACACGTTATCAGTGCGATTGCTAAAATTCTCTATTTTTTATAAACCATGATTGCAATTCTTGAAATCCAGTTCCAAACTTCTTCCTATGTTCAATACATGCCATATACTAAACTATTGAAGAAGCAACAACCACAACAACGATCTTATCGTCCCAATGCTAACATAGCTACCACCATGCCACCTGGTGACTTGTCTATACTCGGAACACCACCTTCCTCCAATCTAATGTTGATTGACTCATCAAATTAGTTTATATTGTTTATATGGTATCAGAGTAAGATGTCAACTTGTCTAATAATTAGGTTTAAAAATTCTCTCTCTTTGAATGGACCCGCCGCCATCCACCATCCTGCCTCCTAAGCAGTCGGATGCCTTCCCTATCGGTGACAGCAGCAACCCCCCATCTCAACCCTTGACCTCACCTGGCCTCACGCCACCCTATACATCCCCACCGTCCAACACAAATTCCCAACCTACGAACCCTCATCAAGGCGGCAACCCTCATTCCGACCACACCCATGCTCCAACTCATCCACCAACCGTTTCTCCTCATCTCGCTGGCGGTTCGTTTGGTGGTTTACCCACAGATGCTGGCCAAGATCCGAAGATGCAGACACCAGTGGTGAACCAATCGGGTAATCATGTACGGGCTGATTCAATTGGAATTTCTAAAGTGTTGTAATTGAAGAAATCTACAGACAGCCATTTAATTGAGGGCGCACCAACGTCAAACCTGGGACAATTGAAGCCTAAATCCTATGCTATGGTGTTA